CAACAACAACAACAACAACAACAACGACAACAACAACAACAACAACAACAACAACAACAACAACAACAACAACAACAACAACAACGACACCAGAATGTGTGGATCGTAGTGCACCAGGACGACCTAGTGATTGCCCAAGAGCGAAACATTTATGCGACAATCCTTTATATTACAAATTAATGACGGAACAATGTCCACTTACGTGCAATCGTTGCCCGGGTACCAGTTATAGACCGGTGATTCCATGGCAAGGTATTTCAAAACCGCTATTTTCACGAGAATATAATATGTAAAATTACAGAAATGAAGATAAGGTATTCGTTGATAATAATATAATCTTATCAGAAATCAGCAACTTTTTGATATAGTTTGTCAACAGAACTAAAGAAAATCTTTAACCAAAAAAAGCTAAGCTAATTTGGACATGAAATTAAAAATTATCAAATATGACAAAAGAATGAACAATAAACAAACGGAATGGAAAACCAATTACAGAATTAATTAAAATGAAGGTTTATTAAACAAAACAAAGTTTAAATATTATTTGAAAGGTTTTCGTTAATGTTATTAATATTTTACTGTAATCTTATTCATTTGTCCATTAACTAATTACTTGTTAGGGATTAAATTTTTTAAAAAAGCTTTTTGCTTCAATGGATAGGAACTTTCAGCTTGTTTTGATCGATATGGAGCAGATGGTACTTCAAATTGCGCTGCCGTTGCATATTTATGCGAAAATCCTTTATACCATCGTCTTATGCAGGAGCAATGTCCACGAACTTGTAAATACTGCTAATTGATTATAATGGAACATATTCAGTTATCGGAAACATTTATTCTTAACTTTATAAAGCTTCTGCTTTATAGAATATTCAAATTGGAATATTCAAACATTGACAAATTGATTTTATAGTAAAATAAAATGATTACCTTACTTTACCGTATGTATGCAAAAGTTAAAGAGATAAGGACAGATTTGAAGGAAGGTAACAAAACATAACAGAAATCTATCCGGGCGTTAAAAATTGGTACAAGAATAGATCTTATGGTACCAAGTTAGAAGTCTGAAAGTTTTAAATTGAAATAAACTTAAATCTAATGATCTCAAATGAATATGAATGAATCTGGAAATTTTAAATCAATAAAAAGATAAATCAGAAGATTTTTAATTAAAGCAGAGATAAATCGTTAGGACTTAAACTTTCTGCATATGTTCTATATTGCATCCGCCAAAACCAATATGCTTAAAATATGCTACAACAAATAATCCTAGCACATTTTCACAAAGATATTAAATTAAGCGTAATAATGATAATCATTATTATTAATTATAACAAAAATTATCAATAACAATAATGGTCACACACACACAC